CCCTCTTCTTCACCGCCCCGCCCCGCCCCGCCCGCGCCCCCGGGGCACGGCGGAAGCACGGACCCGCCCCGCCGCCGGTCCCCGGGGCTGCCCGGCCGAGCGCGGCCGAGCGCGGCCGAGCAGATTCCGAGAGTAGCCGAGCGCTGCTGAGGGGCGTGCGAGAGTTGCCGAGCGCTGTCCGGGAACTGCCCGTGAGCCGACCGAGGGTGCCCGAATTCTGCCCGAGTGTTGCCGAGTATTCCCGAGCGCTGCCCGAGTCTTGCCGAACTAGATCCGAGCCTTGCCGAACTAGGCCCGAGCCTTGCCGAATTGTGTCCGAGCCTTCCCGAACTAGGCCCGAGCGCTGCCGATCCCCGCCGAGCGGCGGGGGGGGGGGAGCCGGGCCTGGTGTGGTGCCGGACGGCGAGCGCGGCCTGTGCCGGTGGTGAGTGGGCCCGAGGCGGGAGCTGCGGAAAGTTTGCGGCCCTGTGTCCCTGATCCCTTGGGTAGAGCTGTCCGTGTGCATGTCTGCGTTAGGGACCGCAGGGCTTTGTTGTCAGGGCTGTCCTTCTCACCGTCGCGGTGTGTCGTAGCCCCACTTCCCTGCCTGTGTGGGCCTGGGAGGAAGATGTATGTGTTTGTAAAGACGGGGCTGTGCGTGTTTCCCCCCACACCTCCTGTGTGTGTGTGTATCTGTGTCCCCATTCCCCCTCAGTTACATTGCCCATCCCCCTCTCCGTGTCTCCGTGACAGCACAAGGGGGAATGGCTTTAAACTGATAAGAGACTACCTTTAGATTAAATATTAAGAAGAAATTCTTTACTGTGAGGGTGGTGAGGCGCAGGTTGCCTAGAGAAATTGTGGTTGCTTTATCCCTAGAAATGTTCCGTGCCAGGCAGGATGGGGTCCTGAGCAATCTGTTCTGGTGGGAGGTGTCCCTGCTCATGGCAGGGGAGCTGGAACAAGATGGTCTTTAAGGACTCTTCCACCCCAAACCATTCAGTGGTTCCTTGAATCTATGATTCTGTGATAACGTGCCTAATGTTGGCTTTTTTGGCAGGTGTGCAGCAGGATTGTCCAAGCCATGATCGAAGTGTTGGCCAAGCTGGGCCGTGGGCCCGTGTTCCTGGCAGGGGAGGTGCTGGAGTGTGTGATCACCTTCACCAACCCATTATCGGCCTCGTCCACCTCTGCCAGCAGGTACAGGAGCCTGTGCCAGTCCATGCACAGAGCCTCCAAATGCTGGAGCTGCCTGGGTCCCTGCTGAGGGAGCAGCCCACCCTCTCTTCCCTCTCTGCAGCAGTAGTCATGGCTGCATTGTAGTGCAATGGTGCCAGCTCAGCCCCTTGTGACTTCCCTACTCAAGGCACTCCCTTAAGGAAGCCTTGCGTCATCTCTCAATTTTGGGGGTGAAGCTGAGGTAATTATGCTGGTTTTGTGCCCCCAAGAAGTAGACAAGGAAGGAGGTATGCAGTTAGAGATTCTCTGTCACTCAGGTGAGCACTCAGTGACAGTGTCTGGCAGAAAATGAAGCCAAACTGGCTGTCCAAGTGGGCTATCTGGTCACACCAGGGTGACAGTCACACAGAGCAACATCCAGGCAACGTCATTATTTCCTGCATTTGTGGAAGGAGCTCTCTTTTACACAGGGATCAGTATGATCCCTGCCTCCAGAGGTGGCAGACAGGGTTAGATCTGAAAGGATCACCTTCTGCAGCCACATTTTCTGTGGCCCAGCCTTTGAGCACTGCATTTCCCCTTCTCAGTGCTGAGGAAATGTGAGAAGATGGGAGCTTCCCATATTGGCTCACAGGGGGTGACTCTGTGTCACAAGTAATCACCCAAAGCCTTCATGTCCGCTGAGTGTGCGGCCTTGTCTGATTCTTTAGGGAGTGGAGAGTGCTTTCTCATCTTGAGTCCTTCCTGGGAAGTATCTGTTTCCAGCCCTGTCAGGTTCAGCATGTTTTCATCACCAGTATGATGTTCACATGTGATTGTTTTGGTGGGCCCACTCACAGTGCCTTCAGTCTCAGCAGCAGAGGGCTTCTATATTTATTGCCTTCCTTAACTTTCCATCTTTTCTTCCTGTTTTCTTTTGACTTCAGAGATCAGGTTTCAAATTCAGCTGTGGCGTAAGCATCCAGCTTCCCAGAGTTTTGTCCTCTGTGACACCAAAGTCATGTCCTGTGTTTTGTCTGCTTCTGAAACATGTGGGACTGCAAGGGTACCTGGAGGCATGGTTTGGGGGGGGTTCAGTGCATTTATGACAGCTTCATTTAAAACTTCAGATGTGTTGTGATCTGTAAAAGACTGCCTCTTGAAAAAGAAGAGTTTTTAAAATAATAAAAAGAGCCCCAGGGTATCAATCGGACGAGACCTGGCTAAGTCAGGCGAGCGGCAGCAGCAAATAGATTGATGGTTTGGAAAATGAAGCTGTGGGTTGCGTAAAGGCAGGAGCCAGATCAAAGCACCGTGACTGCAACAGGCAGAGAGGCCTGTCAGAGCCTGGAGGGTTTTGGGGCTGACAGCTGGAGGGACAGCGAGGCCTCATATTGGGAACAGGGACAGAATTGAAAGAAAGGCAGGAAATCAGTTTGATGGTGGAGTACAAGAAACAAATCTCTTCTACCCAGAGCTGCACGGAGCATGTCCCGTGTAGGCTGCAGGAGTTGTGGGGGAAGGTGAGACTGGAAGGAAGTGACCTCAGCACCAGTGCAGGATCCTCCACTGCTGAACAAGCACTAGCTGAGCAAGCCAGCTCTGCTGGCAGGAAGGGACATGCAAATTTTATTGGGACATCTGGCTAGAAAAAATGAAAACAATCCAGTGTCATGTTGTAAAGCTATACTGAAAAGGAAAGAAAAAAATACTCAAAATACAGTGTTTGAAGGTATTGTAATCACTCTAAGCTTATATAAAATTAGAGAACATTGCCTCAAGCAAGAGCAGTTCTCTGTTTCCAAACAGCAGATACCTTACAAGAAAAAAACATATGGGCAGCCCTGATAAAAAAGTCATGCTGGTACTTTTGAAAATGCTGAATTACAGCTGTAGGGCTCAAAAGAACTAGGTATAGTAACTGAGGTGTGTTTGGGTAAGGGCAGCCAGCACATACATAAGATCAAATAGCACATCATTAGACAGCTGACACAAATACAGCACACCTTTTTCCCTAGTTCATCTAGACCTTTAACTGCTCTGATGTGTCACATGAAGGGACACTCGTGTGCCACAGAAAATCCCTGTGCCACCTAAAGCTCTGTTGTTGGTGCTTACTAATCAGGTTGTGATGTTAGAAAACACCAGAGGAACTATTCACTGGCTAAACTATAGACACCGCTATTGAAATAAAAACAGGAGTGATTTGGAAACTGAAAGGTGTCACTAGTACCATGGGAAGTGCCCTGTGGAATGGCTGACGTCTCAGCAGAGTCCAAAACACAAAGCTTTTTTTTGTGCTGGATGCGTGGCCCTACATTAATTCCTGGGGCTGTACAGAGAGGGGTCAAAATGACACCTTTGCCTCCCCTATTGCCGTCAGCAAAGTCCTTGCATAAGGAGTAAGTAGGTCCTAATGAAAGACCCAGAAGCATCCTCCTTTGGTCTGGCACAAACAGCAGCTGATGTTCATGTTGGGGATGGTGCTGTGGGGCCAGAGGGAGCATGTCTGTGCCTACCTGCCCTGAGGAGTGTTGAGCTTGGGGCATCTCTGTGCTGTGGGCAGGGGCAGCTGAGCCCAGGTTGCACAAATTCGCTGCTTTAGAATTTGCCCACTTCCCTAATGGTTGTGTTGTTACCCGAGTGCTGCTCTGTGTATCACCTCTGGCTTGGGATTTAACTCCTGATGGCTGAGAGTCCTGTGCCAGGGTCCACATGCAACAGCTTGAGGTGTCCTCCCAAGAGAGCAGTGAGTGGCCAGTCCCAATCTGTGGATGATGCAAAAGATGAACAAATGAGTAAGGCTTTGCACTGTATCTTGGAACAGTTGATCTCAGCACGGTGGCTGATAGATCCCTGTGAAGTTTTGCACAAACCACCTTGTCTCTTGTCATCATGGAAGGGGGCAGGAGCTGCTGACCTCTGCTGCCTGTTGTCCTCTGCCACGAGTGTACAGCATGTCTCTTGGGCCACATGTGTTTTCTCATGCCATGTCAGTGCTGTGCCAATGGTGTTGTGGCTCAGACTGCAATTATTGCTGCTTAAAAGAGTCCTTGGGCTGCAGAGCCAGGCTTTGGGTGAAGCTGTTGTCAGCAGCTGGGGTGGAAATCGCTTTGAGTCAGCATCCCAGCTTGAGCTTACTCGCAAGGCTTGTTTGGAAGGGGACTGTGAGAGTGGCTTCAGTGACAGTGAAGTAACACCTTCCTTCCAGACAAACAGTCCTGCATGGAGCTGAGCTGACAGAGTTGCTCTTCTCCCTTAATTCCTGCCTGCTGTAATTCAGGTTTAAGCAGAGATGTGAGTGTTGCTCTTTGCTTTCAGTGAGATGCTGGCATGGGCCAGCGCCCAGATCCACTGCCAGTTTCATGCCAGCGAGAACCGGGTGGCACTCCCTCCCTCTGATGGCAGCAAGCATGATGTGCAGGCAGAGAATGAGACCGTCTTTGTCCCCAACAGAGGTGAGTGCCCCTCCTGCCTTCACCCAGGTAGGGACAGTGAGAGCACAGTGAGCAGGAGTCAAGCAGACCATAATGTGCGTGCCTCAATGCAGTGTGCATAGAAGTGAGTGCGAAGTTTGTGTTGCTTTCCTGGTGATAGATGTTGTGGGACCTTCTTAATACTGAAATCACAGTGACAGTATCTTGGATTGAAACATGACAGTTGTTTGTCCAGCTGCAGTGGCAATGTCTCATATTATAACCAGGGCAAAAGATGCTTCCTCCCTCGCTCTCTTCTCCCTGTTCCTCCCCATGGGGATAAAGCTTGACTGACCTGGACACAGCCTGAGGCTGTGCAGCATTAATATGTTTTTTATTCTCTTCCAGGAGAGCGGGGTCAGTGTATCCTGTC